TATACATACGCACACACACACACTATATATATATATATAAAAATATGTCCACACATGCATGTGTGCGCAAAACATTGTATATCGCAAAGACTTACCTTCGGGTACACAACGTCAAAACCGGCCTTTGCAAGAAGATTTGTAGTAGAATTCATCGAATTTCTCTGATCTTCATTTTGGATCGAAGCACCCATCGTCATAGATACACAAGTAGGCCAGTAGACGACCTGTTGCATTTTTTTGCCATCAAGAGTGACAGGGTCAGTGGTCAATACAAACTGACGAGGGCTATCAGCTACTGTGTTTGGCATAGTATAAGAGAAACAAACATATAATTTCTCAAAATCCGCAACATGAACAGACAACTCCAAAAGGCAGTCGTCTGGCCAATGAATGAAGAGACATGTTCTTGATAGTTTCAAGCCCCCGGCACAACTCATATAGATCCTTCAGCTCGAATATAAACTCCGTCCATAAATAATTTCATGTGCACGTGGCAGTGACTGTAGCGGCTGGAGGATCGGCAGTGCTCCACACGGACACAAAAAGCCTCATACACATACAAAAGAACGTATGTAATCAGATATACAACGAGTATTATGATAGTCTCATGTCCAACCTTTGCGGGGCCAGTAGCCGCAGCAGCACTAGCAGACGCGGCGGCTTTGACAGTCGGAAGTGACCCAGACACACCATGCGGCATAAACTTGCCGTAGGTGGGAATAAGCCCCCCGCTTATAAATCCCATCCCACGCGAAATAGCCGCAACGGTACCTAGGAAGATATTGGATTGCGGATACATATGGGTGCGATCAAAAAACGTTCACGTACCAAAGTAAACAAATCCGTGTCATCACGTTAATCGGTATGAGTGCGAGCGTCCAAAATGGCCAATGTGCACGACGATATAATTAACTTTCCCTACTTCTAGAAAATACAAAATCTGATATATATATATATATTTATATATATGAATACATGAATATATATAAATTAATTTAATATAATATAAAAAATACAATAATAAATATATAATTAATAATATATGTATACACACACAGTATATATATATATATATATACAGACACACACAGTATATATATATATATATATACAGACACACACGCGCACGCGCACGCACACACACATATTTCTGTAAACATACAAGTACTTTACAAACACATGTACAATTTCTTTATATACACTCAAGAAATCCTTAACGTACGTGAATTATCATATGCAATTAACACAAATGAATGTATATTTGAAGAGAGGTGAATTTTAAACAATAATAGTGCAGGTTTGAACCTGCATTCATATCGGCTTTGAAGAAATGATTTATTACAAGTGTATAATACGGGTTTTAGGCATCTTTGACGATTATTTATGCACATACTAATATTGTCAACGCAATCAAACAATACACACATATATTTTCGAATCGGACTGCGAGTAAAGAGAGAAATAAAATCATATCTGTTGAAGCTGTTATGAGATATGCAACCTTTAGGGCGACCTTGCCAGGGATGATAATATTTGTAGACACGTTAGGAATGGTTTGAGCTACGTTGATTCACGCCTTAACATAAGCGAGTATACGACACAAACCTACACACACCAATACCGACATCAGCGTGCAGGCAGCAGACATTTTTAGAATATAGTGAATGACTGCTAAAGTGCAAGCGACGAATATACAACACGTCACAACAATTGAGAGTGAGACAGGAAACACGTCACAACAATTGACAGCGAGACAGGAAACACGTCACTACAATTGAGGGTGACACGAGAAACACATCACAACAATTGAGAGTGAGACAGGAAACAAGTCACAACAATTGAGAGTGAGACAGCGAATACGTCACAAGAATTGAGAGTGAGACAGGAAGCACGTCACAACAATAGAGAGTGAGACAGGAAACACGTCACAACAATTGAGAGTGAGCCAACGAACCTACCAACGCACCCATGTGAACGAATATATGAACAGTTGTATGTGTACGCGAAGCCAGTAAATTTTACTTCCAACATACGCAAGGTCACCTACCCACGCCAATAGTAGCTTGCGCGAGAGATGCTACCCTCAGTCCAAGGGTGGCAGTCGATCGGAACAAAGCAAAATTATTTGCGATGGTTCGGGCAAACCTGACATGCCAGCCTTTAGCATTTACTGCACGCACATGGTGGATTAGTTTGCCTGTGTTGATACCTACGGGACACTGCACAGCACACAATCCCTGTAGATTTGTGAAGAGATGACGAATTGTAGCAGACCACAAACAACTTAATCGATGATACCGGCAATACCGCACAAGCATTAAGATTTCACTACACACGCGTAGTTGCTATGCGGATAGTCTGAAAGGACCGGAGAGAATCAAATGATTTTAGGATCACAAGTCCTGCGAGTCATCAAAACATTCGCAGCCGCTTGCAGACGCATACAACCAGTAGAACAGGTCTTTGGCCAATAAATAACACACAAAAGCGATATATCAATTAATATAAAAGTATTCACAGAACACTAAACGACCGACAAGAGGATGGTATATTACCAGACTATATAGGTATGTCAAGCACGGGCGAACTTTATCGTACAGAGCACGAGCACGCTCAATTTACAGTCTGAATACACAGAACTACATAGTTTACAGGTACGACGATTTGTACATATGATAGATATATGAATACACCTACCGTTGCTGCACAAGTCTTTTCTCCAAGATAGCCGAAAGCAGCCTCAAGGTTGCGCAAACGGCGGACATCCGAATCGCTATTAGCGTTCTGGCGCAATCGAGAGATCTCTCTCCACGTGGTGATGCGCTGACGCCTTATATGAAGTGTTAAAAGTCGAGTATTTGAATCAAAGAACTAGAAGTTACATGACTATGAGCTATATCAACTGATGAACATAAACCTCGGAAAGTGACTACTACACTTTTGAAAGTCGAACAAAAAAACCTAGCAGCACAAGCGATCAACATAATTTGGTACTTCAGTCAGCATGAAACAGAAATCAGCAGGCAATAGAGAAACTAGCTGACAACAATCCAATCAAAAGTCCTTACGGTGTGAGTGTCAGATTCTTCGAAGGGCACAGAGGCTCGCAGAAGCCACACTCGATGCACTTGTCCACGATTGGGTGGGCTGGTGGCAGCACCTTCAAATGAGTGACCTATTTAAAAGGAAATATGGCGAGAAAAAAAACCCCCCGGACATCGGTAAATGAGTAGAAGTATAAATATATGTGCCAGCGTAAACATGGCTACATAGACATAAATTTAATGAGCCACATAAAAAAATTATTTGAGACATTTGAAGAATTGCCGAGAAACAGAGACGTTCGCAGAGGTCACACTCGATGCACTCGACTATGATACCTTCCCATCGAATGCAAATGACCGACACAATCACACTAAGGAGATATATACCGAGATAGTTGGAAATCCTTAAGTTCGAGACCGTATAGTCTTAGCACAGTTAATTATTGCATATACAGTTACGTATGTGTGCATGTACTTATATTTATATACACATTTTCGTATGTTTGTACACATATACGTTGGTCTACGGTGGTATGTGTACATAACAATTGGGACTGCACGTATTGACGCGTAAGTAAACAAATATATATACTCGAGTTGTGAGAGCAAATAATTTGACATCCTTAAGTAGCAAGTTCCAAATTCAAAGCAGGCATCATAAAGCCCAGCAATTTCATGCACTTCCCAGGGTGACGCTGACCATCGAACAGATAGCTACAATTTTGTTGTTAAATCTCACACTTTGTTCTAGCCTCGGATTCTGTCGAGCAGTAGCTACAACGTAACAGGGCTCTTGATACGCTTTCTTAAACATATTTAACCATATTCGCTATGTAGCAGTCACAAGACTTGTATTAATTCAGAATCCAAGTCTTGAAATGGCGAAAAATCAAGTACTTGTAGCTGAACACTTATAAAAAAAAGTAAAATTTACGAATGCAGCTAACTATATTTTATCCACAGCTATAGCATAAAAACACGAGTATACCAAGTGCAAACCAGAAATCTCCATGTTTTAAAATGGATCGAAAGCTCAAAATGAACCACTTGCCAGTTTCGAGCGCTGCAATCCATCCAACTATAAACTCAAAATATGAGATTAAAGACAGACAACTTACTGAACAACATGAGTATCGATCACGTGCACATACTATGCCATGTGCGTATGTCTAGTATGTGTATACTACAGAAGTACACACAAACGTTATATTTTACACAAATGAGTACATGTACGCACATAAACGTATCTGCATGCCCTGGTGTGTTAACGCATACTTAGATAAATGACTACGTGGATACATGGACAAAATAAACATCAAACACGCATGCTGATGCACAAGCCGTATAAACTTACATGGGCATTAGGATCCTCATTGATGATGACACCAGGGTTCAAAATAGCATTCGGATCAAAAATTTTCTTGATCTGCTGCATGAGATTGTAGCCTTGCTTGCCCCATTCCAACTCAACAAAGGGCGTCATATTGCGACCAGTGCCGTGCTCCGCTTTGAGAGAGCCTCCGTAATCAACTGCAATCAATTGGGCCACGTCTTCCATGAATGCTGAGTACCTACAATATCCAAAGGCCATTGGGGGCTGGGTGAGGGCAATTCTGGTACAATATAGGAACATTGAATCGACCGGTCAATCTTGCGTAGATACAACATCGATATCGCCCACTTGTGCGCTACCAATAATGATACATCGGTATGTTCGGTACTTTTGCAAGGGGTCGTTGTTAATATCTGTGTATATACATCAATATGAAGCATTCTGTCCCATTACCTGTCAATCTCGGCCTGACTGTCGAATCTTTGCGTGAAAACGAAGTGACAATTGCCCATAAGTGCGTGGCCAAAAATGAGAGCCTCAGAATAATTGTACTTGTCGAATATCCCCTGAATGAAATACGAGCACGAACAAATCCGTCAGTAAGACCCGATAGAGAACTGTGATGTAGCTGTAAAAAGTATTGTGTAATTGATTGTAGAAATATTGTATGTAGCGTGATGTTCAATTTTTGCGACTGATAATCGCGTATTTCGACGTAGATATGATACACATGATTAGTATGGTTTTAGGTTTGAGCTGATTGTTCTTAGCAAAATTACACTGACAAGTGGTAGTGTATGCACTCGGCGGCACAATGCGGATGACGGATGTATGGTAACACGTCTGAAGTAACGAATCAAAATCATACCACTACGATTGCGATTCTGTGCACGGCATGTAGATTTGTATAAGTCTAGAGGTCTTGTACATTCCCACCCAAGCTGTAGATACAAGAGTATTCGAATACTATACAATACCAAAAACAATACCCAGCTTTCACACTATTGAGCATCGACATTATGAGCTACATGAACTATACACCGGTGATGATATACATATGCACAAACAAAAATCAGTATACTTGTCTCCTAACGATCAGATGCAAGTGTTAACTTATACTAATTCGCATGCCCTTGATTATAATTGCAAAAATATACGAATACACACATATATATAAACATATATGCATACAAACACTCACCCACCCACATATATATATATATACATTTATATATATATACTATATGTATAAATACATACATATATATATATAAATATATAGATGTAGATGTATATGCATACATACATACACGCACATATATACACGTACATGTATACCTGGTCATATATGCAGGTACATATATACATACACACTCACACAGACACAGACACAGACACAGACAGATGTATATATATACTGCTGATTAATATATTAGGGAGATATACTATGCATTCACATGTATACGATACCTGCAACTTGACTACAACCTCGGCCATCTTGGGCAGTGGCACCGCAACGTCCTCTATTATAACTGTGGTGCCAGTCTCTCGAACAGCTCCCACAGCTGGGAACATACCTGTACAAACAATAAACAATATCAATGAGCTTTTCTCGTATAAATTTCCAGACTGAAACGTTTTTGATGGGCCCTGAAAAATAATAATGCATGTCTCTAAAGGTGTACAACTATGTTGTGCATGTTTGGGTTCATGTTTCGATGCTGGAGATATGTATGATAATTTCTTGCGGATCATGACGGGGACACTGTCAACTCTCTATACAAGGGTAGTTGTCTTCATATTCTATTTTTATAATTCTATAGGAAACTCACTAGTACTTACGGTAGATAATTCAGCACCCGAGGACTACAAAAGTCCAGTTCGAATGCAAGTACAGCAAGGCACAACACGCAAAGAAATGTTGCCACAAGTATATATACAATGCCATATGAAATATTCACCAGCTTCAGAACCCCAGTTGCGGAGGCATACAAGCTGTGAGTATAGACTGCACTGAGCCGGTTTCGTTGACGATCTGGAAGAATGACTGGAGATACTTGTGCATATAGACTATTGCCATTGACTTGGTACATTCAGTTTAAACACACCTTTTTGACTACAGATTAAGAGTACGTGTATGTAAACGTTATCTACATATACATACTCTTATTATGTAGTCACACTCTCGAACACATTCATACACTCCCACACATATATAAGCTCTCAATACTCGAATACATGCACACAACCATATATACCTTTTCTGATATTCCACAACATCTTATATACCCTAGCATCCTGCGTGAAGGGAATGTCTCTTATGACATTAAACTTCTTCATCTCCTTCTCAATAGTTTCGCGTTGTTTGTTCAACTCAGCCTGGTCATTGTGTCGCGAGTCGATCAACAGTGCGCACGCCGGCTCAGGAAGTTCTTTAATCCACTCCGGCAAGACAGGATTATTCTCCACGGAACGCAGACCTGAATGAATTTGATTTAATTACAAATCAGATGAGACTACCAGCATATACACATGCTAAAATGATAGCACAGGATTATGGGAAAACATTCAACAGAATTCATACATTAATTTTAAGATTAAATTATGTATTAATATCCCAAACCAGATTAGACTACCAGCATATACACATGCTGAAATGATATCAAGGAATATGGGATAACATTCAACAGAATTCATACATTAATTTTAAGATTAAATTATGTATTAATATCCCAAATCGGATTAAACTACCAGCATATACACATACTAAAATGATATCACAGGAGTATGGGATAATAACATTCAACAGAATTCATACATTAATTTTAAGATTAAATTATGTATTAATATCCCAAATCGGATTAAACTACCAGCATATACACATACTAAAATG